TCAGCCGCCGCCACGCGGCACGAGCTGCACACCCGCAGTTGGCAGCTCTGGCACAGCTCCCCTCGGTCAAAGATCAAGCCCAGGCTTTTCTGGCAGCGGACACAGACCCTGCTGTTGTCCTGTTCACAGTGACGGCTTCCGCCTTTCCGTCTCACTTCCAAAAGCTCGTTTTTCAATTTCCTAGAGGTAAAAAAAATCTTTCAATTTGGAGATTCAACTCAACGATCTGCAAGAACTTTTTAACAGATTTTGTGCTAAAAGTACAAGACATGAATAAATACTTTTTTTTTTGTTATATTTGCTGTATTTCTTGACACACACACAAGGAATAAATCTATCCTCCAGCTGTCAGACATGCAGTCGAGAGGAAAATCTGGTAGATCAGTATAAGTAACTGCAGATAGCTGAACAGTCCTGGACAGCTGAGAAACCATCTTTGCTCATCCCTCATCAATAATTCAAGTCATGCTGAGCTCAAGTTGACAGCAGCTCAGAACTGAGACTATCCAGTGCATCCACAGAAGGAACAGAAGAAAATCCTTCCTGCAATTAATAAGCATTTAATAATAAGTCAGTGTAGTTGGTTAGGAGCACATATGCAATTGTGAACCAGTTATTCCAAGCCTTAAAAGAGCCCAAACCAAAATATTGGAATAGAWAATGATGTTATGCTGTGATGCCATAATCAAAGTAAAAAAGGAGAATAATGGTTTAAACAGTGTTGACTGTCAGTTCTCACCAGTTCTTCCACTGAGTCTCCAGAATAAAAAACATTGGTGTTTAGGACCTAATTTTAAAGTCTGCAGTTCCAATTGCACATGAGTTGGGTCCTTAACAAGAAAATCACAATGAGATGCCACTTAGCTCAGTGACTACTGCCAAGTTTTCTCAGTTTTATACATCTAGGTATTGCTGTGTCTCCATTACCCCACCTTTCCCTGTGCTTTCTTTTGTGCCCACCATCAGCCAGGAGCCCCCAAAGTCCCTCAGCATGAAGTGCACCAGCTCACTGAAATTACAATCTCTGCACACACATAGATGCTTTAAGGGGGATTTTAAAAACCAGCTACCAGCTTCACCTAAAGATCAGTAAAAAGGTGTCAGAGGAAAAACACCCCGAAGATAAAAGCAATAAAACATTTCAGGTTGCAGCCCAGTGAAGGAGGCCAGGAACATTTCTTTGGCCACCAGGGAGTCAGCTCTGACAGATTTAGATTATTTGTGGATACACTACCTTGCTAAAAGGTTGGCCAGCATTTTGCTTCCCACTGGGATCCCATGAGGAGCAGCTGCTCTGAACCACCTGACCTGTGGATGATCCACTCTGACAGCTTTAGAAAAAGGTAATTTCCAACCCCTCCAGGCAACAACTGCAGATCCCAGTCAAGGGTTTTCCTCTGCTGGCCTCTATCCAGAACTGATTTTCTCATCCAGCTTCACACCCTTCTCCCACATCCAATCCAAACAGCCTTTCTCTCGTGCCAGAGTCTTCAAAAGTCTGTCCAGGCTTCATGAGCCTCCTTGGTACTTCACTGACTGTTCTTGCAGTTTATTGATTGCATCTCACATCCCACTGCTTCCTCCAGAGATGCATTTTGCTCCAGGCAAACGTGTCCATTTCCTTCTGTCAGTCAGCCAGCTCCAGATGCAGATGGTGACTTGTGCTCCAAAAACTGCCAGCGGCGCTGAGTGCTGCCACTGTGCACATGGACGAGAGATGATCTCTGTTCTTCCCTTGGGTCTGCCCTCAAACCTCCAAAGAGAACCCATCTGCTTCTTCTGGACTGAGAACCAAAGGCCACCCCACCACCTCCCACTGCCAGAATGCTCCTGACCTGAACATTTTTTAGGAGACACCACATCTGTCCACTTGAAGAACAAACTCACCTTCAGGCGCTTGTGAAGACATTTATTTATCACCGAGGTTGTGGCCACTCACATCCCACTGAACAGCAAACAACACTCACAAATGCTTCATCCCTTACTGTCACCCCTCTAGCAGTGTGAATATGTCAGAGACAAAGTTCTGTGCTGCATGGCCACTTCAAGTACCAGCTGACCTCAGGGAAATTTGTTGAGATTGATTGTGCTTTCACACATTGAAAGGCATGGCAGCACTTCCAGGTTCAAATTTCCCTTGCCCTGGACTTGTGCAACGATCTCAGGAGCTGGGATTCCTGAAGAGCTGTCTGACCTGTAAGGGCTGAGGGTGAAAAAGCATTGTGCACATTGGGTGTTCCCCATGCTTGTCACTGATCCTCTGTTCCATCCAGCAGCACAAACACTTTTCCTGGCCTTCCTTTAGTCTCCATTTTCTCAATTACAATGTTCTCCTGTTAATCTCACCTGATTTCTTTGCCAACCTGGACCACCACTTCTTTGTCTGATCATTGGTCATTCTCTCCCTACCTCATCTTTTTCATGGTCTCCTGTCAAAACTGTGAATTTTCATCCAGCAGAACTACYAACCAGCTTTCAGCAGAGAGTCTTTTAGAGACAACTGTATTTTCACTTTTTATTCAGGTTTGCAAAGATTTGGTCAATCACATACCAAAGAACTAAAGAGGCACAAATAATTCAGTTCCAGTKTCTTTTGGAATTTGAGCATCTGCATGCAAACCAAGCACCTCACCCTTACCAAAGTATCAGAGTAATCCAGAATATTGTTAAACCCCAAATCTCAAAGCGGTTAGAATACTAAGAACTAGTAAAAGGATCATTTTTTTTTTCATAACAGATTTCTTTCGAGCAGTCAATTTTTACTTGAAAAAAATCAAATTAATCATGACCCATCACATTTCAGGAACTTGRCAGGCAGTTGATGGCAGATTGGCATTTTCCATCTTTTTGGCAATTATCACTGTGTCCTATGGACTGCATCCATGTGTCTAATGGTGAAASAAAGCCTCCACTGCACTCCTTCAGCCTTCTCCTTCCCCACTGCAACTTTCAGGCCCTATTGTGCTTAGTTAGAAGTATTTTTGGGAAAAAATCTGTTTTAAATAGTTTGAATTTAAAATTAGGAAATGTCTATCAGGCCAAACCAATAAACAGCAATTTTTTCAAGAAAAAAACCTTGCTTAGAGATCAGCATGTTGAAAAACTTATCAATATTCTTTGACATTAAAAAGGTGTTATTCCTACTATCCAGTAGTGTTGATTGCAACAGAATTTCCCATTGCTTATGTGATACACAATCTAAAATKCTTATCAGGTGATAGCTGGTCTGCAAACAGCATGAATTCTGAGAAGYGTTTGTTTTCTTATTTTTGAACATAAATTGCCTGTGATGACTTCCAGGGAGAGAAAATGAATCAACCCAGAGTTTCTCCACTCAATTAAACAAATAAAATAGAAAAATTATAGCAAGCAAAGAGTGCAYGGACAGATACACTGGGTATGAACTTTCATTTGAAATTCCCTACATTATTTGTKGAGCTGAATGACTGATTGACTGCAACAAATATATTCACATCTTAAGAAAATAAAAMATGAACTGACTCAAGGAAGAGCAGGAGGAGGTGGGTGAGTCATCTGAAAAAATCCATCATCGGAACAGCCCCTAAACAAGTCCAGCTGAGCTGCACTGGTTGCCCAGAATTGAAAAGGGATGACAAGGGCAGCCTGTAACTGCACTGATTTACCAGCACATTTATCTCCCAGGGCAGGAAGCAGCTGCATCATAAACACCCAATTTCCTACTGCCAGTCTAACGTTTGCACTCTCAGTAGTTTTAAAGGAATACATTTAAACATGGAGTTAGACATTTTTAATCRCAAGTATTAAACAAGAATTAATCTTTATCAATCTTCTCCTGGTAATATGAAAGARAAAATAAAACCCAGCAGAAGGCAATTTAATAAGCTTCTGGCAAAAAAGAATCCTATCATCCACTGAAGTTTCTAAACCTTCTATTATAAAGGCTGTTTGATAAAAGATGGCTATTAAAAATAGATTTGATTCTGCCAAGGATAACATAATTTTTCTAAACTATGAATTTATATTAAGATCCTTCTACTGCCTGAGAAAATATGTTAAGCACATTGGAGAAGAATTGTGTTGTAACCAGTATTCCAGGTAATATTGAGCCACTTAATCTGAGCCTCCCCAAATGTGGCCTAAAAGGGCCATATAAAATAACACAGCAGGAAAYAAAACAAAACAAAACCCCCCAACCAAATAAACCAACTCCAGAATTCACAGCTCTTGGCACAGTTGCCCACCAGAATCCCTAAAAAAGGCAGGTTCTTTCCTCCTGATGCTGAAAGCTATGAGGAAAAAATGCTTCACCATGGAGCTTCCAGAGATTATATATTCTCAAATCYCCATAATGCAGCAAAGAGGAAGCAATGAGAAGCCTTATCTGATCCATTTTTATTAAAAGTAAGCTTTACCCTAGAGAAAGTAAGCATTTTGTCCCCCAAAAGTAAAATAGCTCTACTGCTCCAAGAGGCAAGACATTCACTGGCCAAGCCATTTACTTAAACGAATGCCATAATTTCTTTTAACTCTGTAAGCATTACCCACTTGTTTTAAGTTAGGTAACCTTTTCTTTTAATATCAAACTGGTTTGGATGTTTATTTTCCATTTCAGTAGGATTTTAGAAAACTTTTTATTTTGAATTTTTTTCTACCTCATCTCCTCTCAATTTTTTTTTTTTAACAAATACTGTCAAATGCAATAACATACATAATTGTTGAGTTTGATTTTCTAATTTCTCCTGGATCTTCCTGCTCCCCATTTCAAACCCCTTTTTCCTCCAAAGACATAGAGCAGCATMATCTAAGTATACCTGATTTTATTTTGCCATTCTAATTTTCCAGAGTTCAAAAAGTTGTAAAAAATTGAATTAAAAATAAAAAAGGGCAACCCTCCCACTTCCTCAGTCAACTATAATTAAAGACTTCAGCAGAAAAAAAAAATTAATTGCTCTTGCACAGATGAATAGAAACATCCTTCTGAATCTCTGCAGCTGCTAACTGGGACACTGGAGAATTTTCTGTGCAGGCACTGGCATCAACATACTTCTGGAGTATGAGGAAGAAAGGCAATTTCCTTTCCAGACTGATTCTCAGTACCTTCTTCAAATTCAGCCAGATTCCCTGCACTGTCTGACACAGYATGCAGAAAATAACAGTAAATATTGCTGAGAATTCACAAAAAGAATTGGGCAATTGCCAACTTCCACTGAGATCTCCTTGCATTGTAGAATATAAGTACCGGAAATATTTTTTTTACTCATTTGATAAGCACAGATTTTCACATTTTGTTTATTGCAACAAATCAACGTGATAAAAATTGTGCTAAGAACACCCAGGTATGGAGGTGCATTGGTGACAACACAGGGAAACAAAGAAAGAATGAATTTGCARTGGAAAAGAGATGTGGCATAAGAAATGGCAGAACAGAGCTCAGTGAAGAGAAGGAAAGGAGGCAAGGAAAATGAAATTACCCTGGATACCACAATGATGACAAACTTCCTCAAATGAACGTTTTTCTGGTTTACCCCCTCATTCTCTCAAATAAAAATGATTACTACTATTAAAAAAACAAAACCAAGATGAGGCAAAACAATCCAAAATAACTCCCCTGTTGGTTTCTTACTGGTCTTCAATAAAACAGATTGCACCCAGAGTTTGAGAAGTGGTTACCATCAGAATTTCTTTCACCACTGGAGTATCATGGTTCTCAAACACAGGACAGCAAAACAGGCACCTCTGCCCTTACAGTCCTGCAGTAGTAACTGCTCTTGATGGAAAAGTGTCTGATTTAAATGAAAACAAGGTGTTAAACTGTGTTAAATTCATGCCACAAATGACTGATCTGCCAGGCAGTGACTTTGCACCTTCCCCTGCAGGTGCAGATGGCCAAAGTGTTTTAACACGAGGGCTCTCTCCTTCAAACATTTACAGGCAGTTTTACAGAAACACAGATCATCCACCACACCAAAAATGTTATCCTGCAACCCTTTTGTGTTTATAAACAACCCCAGTTATATTCAGCAGATAAGTCACTTCCCATTCCCAGTCCTCAAACTTCTTTTATTCTACACATGCAGCTACCACCTGGTGGTATCCATGCTAGCAATTTCTCCTCTATTAAAATGAAGTTAATACCCTGAATTGTTTCCATKGGTCTCTTTGGACTGATGAGGAGATGCCCTTTTAGTTAAAAGAAAAGACAGGAATGCTGACTTTCCTTGTCAGTAGAGATCTGGGGCTGGTGCAATTCTTACACAACTTCTGGCAACCTAAATGCTGAGGGAGAGGTTCAAGCAAAATCCATTAAGACTTTTTCCTTAGAAGGAATTGGCAAGTTCCTTCTTTGCTTTCTCAACACAGCAGAGTATTATTACTCTGATATCTCCTCTAAAAGCATTAATAGCTTTAGAAATAAACTTTATATTTTAAACCCTAAGATAATAGTTAAGGAAAGAATTAATAATTTTACTCCAATAATCTTGGCAATTGAAAAACTGATGGTAAGTCAACTTACAGACATCAAAAGCATCAAAAAGCAATGTTTTGAGTTGAATACAAAAGGCCTTTTAAAGTTACAATGGCTTTTGAAAAGCAACAGGAACAGAAAAAAAACAATTATCAAGACAGATTCAGAAAGAGTGGAACAGGGTAATAAAAATCCTTCAGTACAAGGTACAAGCAAGCATCTTCCCAGAGTGGAAAATGCCTCGAAAATCAGTACAAAGGGACTTGCTCTTTTGCAAAGTACTTCAATAAAATAAATAACAGATTGTACCAAATGGAATTCTAAAGACAACAAGTGTTCCTCCGAAGTATGCTTATAAGTCGTGATTATATATTCGTGCCAAGTTGTATGGAGAAAGAAAAATTAAAAAGTCTCCTAGGAAGCAGTTAAACATGCAATTCTTTATAGATTTTATATCCTGGAAATCTTTTAYAGAATTCACTGTTATCAGGCGAAGTGTGCTCTAGTGACAATGAATCTGAAGCCAATTGGCTCATACACAGGTGCTAGAAGTGTGCAAAAGCACCACATTGCATCATTAATTATTATAATTGGCATTATAGTTCGGATTCATTTCATTTTCAGCATTTTCTTAGGGTGCTTTTTCCATTTTTACCAAACCACTGATAAGCCAATACCATCTACAACTGCACTGAGCTGTACACTCCACAGATGCTTCAAATTCCCAGACTC